TCTCAATAATGAGATAGCTAAGTCATAATTATGAGATAGCTAAATCATAATTATGAGATACAAGTTTTATTTTTTATCAGGGTGGCAGAAATGGGCTTCCATATATTTCAAATAGTTTTTGCATAAAATCAAATTTATGAGGAAAAAATTAAAGCACATTAAAATCCGACTGTGATTCTATCTCACAGGATAGAATACTATCTCATAATTATGAGATAGCTAAGTCATAATTATGAGATCCAAGTTTTATGTATTTTTTATCAGGGTGGCGGAAATGGGCTTCCATAGAAATAGACCATGCAAAACACTGCTTTTAATGAATATTTCATCAGTGTATTCTCTTCTGCTTCACAAGCAATAACCAGCTGAGCGCTTTTCAGTTTTGTGTGGAAAAATTACWATCAGGCGATTTAAAGCAAAGGAACCAAATCCTGATGCTTCTATTAACGCATAAGCTTCGACTTAAAATCATTATTGTGCTCTGTAAAGTCCTACAGTTTTCTGTTAAACATYTATTATGTGCAATATCACTATAGAAATGTCATGATTAAAAAATCCATGAGACTTGTGCTCAGAATAAACCATACTGGGATACTTTTAGTGCAAGAAATAAATTAAACTACAAATTAATATTTAGTTTAGGCGCTTATCATTTTCAACCAAGCTATGACCTAAACACTGCAATTTCTGTTAACACTTTTGATGACATCTCGTTTGATAATACTGCCACCTGCAGGGTCATTTAATCTGCTGCAAAACCAGAGGTTGTTTGGGAAAAGTAATATTTAAAGTAATGTCACTCTCACTGCCAATCTAAATCATCTCCATCGAGCAAGAAACCAAACCAAGTCAATAATCAAAACTAGACATCATAAAATAAACTAATTAAAACAGTTTTTTTTTGTTTTATAAAATAACTGGGACCACAATTTAAATTTGTCTGATAAAATTGTATTGACAGGCATTGTAACATGATTTCAGACCAATTTCTTTTTGCAGTTTACCAAACGAAATTACACCTCCCAAACTCAAAATGAAAACAAAAATAAAAACAAATCATGTAATCTACTTTAAAATATGCATATTTAATGGTCAAGTACAATGATATATTCATATATATGTGTGTGTATATATAAATAAACAACCGTTTAGGAAACAATTTCTAAATTCGACTAATACTTTCCAGTTTAAAACATAAATTATCACCAAATGATCAAATACTTTCATATGACAAGATTATATAACTGACATGTGCTTTTTCTGAATATGATCATTGTTGAGAACCKTTGTAACAAAATGTCATTATGTTAAAAGGCAAAGCTTTACTCTCCCAACACCAGGCTGGGTAAATGTGCAGAGTTCTGCGACGGCAAAGAACGGCGATCAAAGGTCAAAGCCAAACCTGCAAAATCTGAGCAACAATCCTATTTCAAATGCAATCTTTGCCTTAGAAAACGATGGAAAAGATTGATTAAAAATAATTTCTTTTTACAAATGKCCATTTGTAGTACAAAAGCTTTTAAAATGCAGTTATGGTGCAAATCAATGCAGTCTCTCTCAAAACTGGTGATAAAACATTTGCGATGCAGAGTGCAGTCATGTGCAGACTTGACTTGGGCCAGCTCACCAGAAACAGCCATTCCGTTTTTGTAGCAGCTACATTTCCAGTTCAGCATCTTCAAATTTCTCAGATAACTTGGATTACAATAGTTTAAAAATGAATAAATACTATACTTAACGTACAACACAAGATGGGGAATATTATTCC